AGGTGACATAACTGCTGGGTGCCTCAAGTGTTAGATGCCTCAAATGTTGGGTGCTTCAAGTGCTGGGTGACTCAAGTATTGGATGCCTCATGTGTTGGATGCCTCAGGTGTAGGTTTCCAAAAGTGTTGGATGCCACAAGTGATGGGTGCCTCAAGTGTTGTGTGTCTCAAGTGTTGGGTGCCTCAAGTGTTGGGTGCCTCAAGTGTTGGGTGCCTCAAGTGTTGGGTGCCTCAAGTGTTGGGTACCTCAAGTGGTGGATACCTGAAGTGTTGGATGCCTCAAGTGTTGGGTGTCTGAAGTGTTGGGTGCATCAAGTGTTGGATGCATCAAGTGTTGGGTGCTTCAAGTGTTGGGTGCTTCAAGTGTTGAGTGCCTTAAGTGTTGGGTGCATCAAGTGCTGGATGCCTTAAGTGCTGGGTGCCTCAAATAGCTAGGATAGCTACTTATGCATTAAGATATTTAATTTTAAGGTAATATAATGGCGGCGAAGGTGTGGCTATTGGGGGAGGATGGAGGCCACGTTTTTTTTCTTATACATACTTCACCAACAATTCCTCCATCAAAAAAAGAAAACGAATACGTAGTCTTAATCATGGGAACAGGGAACAGCAGTGCTATGGGGACCCCAAACTGAAAAAATACCTTCGGGCTAGAGTCAAGAGGGTGGGCAAGGGTTACAAACAAATTGGTACCCTTCAAATGTTACATCTGTATCAAGCGTCCCTTGCTGCTGCCAGGGAACGTGTAAACAAACTCAGACAAACTGCATGGTAAACATATGTCAACAGCCCGAACCAGCACACATCCTGCACCAAAGCGTGGGAAGATATAAACACAATCGGAAGTAAAAACAGTAGACACGTCTCCCATTCACACCCGCTTCAAAAGTCGAATGAGCTAATAACAAAGTGGGCTCATGTGCCTAGCTATGACATGTTACCAACTAGGACTCAAGGACTCCTTGATGCGAAGTCTGCAGAGATAAGTAATCTCATGAACTTTATGTTGGGCAAACAGCACGATGAGTGTGATGTTCCATATACTGAGTGGGAGCTTGACGCCGCCCTCGCCAGAAGTAGGTCTACTGCCCCTGGAGAGGACGGAGTCACCTATAATATCGTTAGACTACTAAGGCGTGTGCCGGGCAATCCATTATTGGTATTGTACAATATGAGTCATGCCGAGGGCCAACTACCCACATCATGGACCAGCAGTATTGTTGTACCAATACCGAAACCAGGACAGCCTGATGCTTTTCGTCCCATATCACTAACCAGCTGCCTGTGTAAAACCTTTGAGAGGATGGTTCTTGGCAGACTCTTATATAGAATCAGAGAACACATGTCTCCTAACATAAATGGCTTCACCCATGGTAAAGGTGTACATAATTGCATCACCACATTCCTAACTGTGCATGGTGATGAAAGGCACAGATACACCACATTTCTTGACCTAAAAGCTACATTTGATATTGCCAATAGGCAACTGATATTGTACGAACAAGCCAAAATGGATACAGGAGGTCGGTTGTTACACTGGATAAGTGGTTACCTAACCCTGCACCGTTTCAGGGTTACAAAAGTGAAGTTAAAGATATGCAACTTGGCACCCCCATGGTAGAGCACTCAGTCCTACTTTGTTCAATGTTCTTATGAATGTATTATTAAATTCAATACCAGACAACCCCAGCAATATCACAATCAGCTATGCTGATGATATTCTTTGCATACTAAAACTCATCGTAAAATGCAAACTACCCTGAACCATGTACACGCAGCCTGTAAGAACCTCGGCCTTATTGTTTCCACCCTGGCGGACAGTTCCCTTCGATATCATAATACAGACATATCCGCCTAAAAGATTAATTATACAAAGCTCTTGAACACATACACACTCTACAGACTGATGATAACATCACACAGACCATCTACACTGATGGATCTCTTAACACCGCCTGTGGGAGGGCTGGAAGTGCTATCGTTGTGACTCAACCTGACGGTAATACAATTGAGAAAGGAGTTAGAATTAACAACTGGGCATCCACTCTACAAACTGAATTAGTTGCCATACTCACAAGACTAAATGTAAAGTGTGGAGCCACATATGGCCACACACTCCAACACTACGTCCTTAACTGTGTGAAGATAGAACCTTTTAGGGACAGGTCCAAGCACACTGTGTGTGAAATGGCACAACACTTTACCTCTAATGGCAAGATAGCCGACATATTGAGATTGTATCTTCCTCCTTCTCTTCTTCCTTCCGCCTTCTTTCCTTCCAGGAGTTGCTAAGCAGAAGACCTCTCTCTCTCTCTCATGCTTAACTGACTCAAGGTATTAGGTAGTAATAGTACGCACGACCTAACAGTAGCAGCAGCCCCGAAGTTACGTTGGAGCTTGGTTGAGATATCGACTGTTCTTTTCTCTGCTTAGGTCTGCATTGCTTTGCCTCAGAGAAACGAGATCTTCGGCCCCAAGGCAAACAACAGTCGCAGATATTGACGATGTGGCCACGTATTATATGTAGTAGCCCTTTTGCCCTGTACTCCCTCGGAAATTCAATATATACAGACAAAATTTTGTATTATACCACCATGTCATAACCTTTGAAACCATCTCATTATAAATCGACATTTTCATCAGATTATTTCGACAGACTTGCAGATATTACACCGACAGATCACTAAAATGCATAGTCATATTAAATTATCCAGGACATGCCAACAGTAGGAATTAATATGGGTGTCTTACGGTATTTGAACCCATAAAGCTCTCAAACAGTCTTCTAGCAGTACGACATTCCGTTTTCGATAATGTTACCGTATATATATTGTAATATTATCAGTGTTAATAATATTTTCCCTATTGACTCACATATTTTTATAAAAGGTCTGTACAGACACACTTTGTCTACCTGTTATGAAGCGTGTCTCGAGTATTGTTTCAATTATATCCCTTTTATGAAACTGATTCGAATGATACTTAATTGTTTAGTTTTGAACCGTTCAAAATAAACTGAAAAGTAGTGGGAGTAATGTGCAAAAAGGAGTGGTAGTAGTAGAAGCATTTAAGGGCAAACGGGCTTCAATAAACAAGAATTCACAGAAGCCATTGCTCTAAGGTACGGTTGGCCATTAGATGGTTTGCCCTCCCAATGCGTGTGAGGTTCATCCTACGAAATTGACCACGCTATGGTGTTTAAGAGAGGGGGCTTCGAATGCATGAGGCATAACGAAGTAAGGGATCTCACAGCATATTTACTGAAGAAAATCTGCCACGACATCACGGTGAAACCAACCCTCCTTCCATTGGAAGGTGAGAACCTCCACCACAAGACTTCCAACACATCTAACGAAGCCCGTGTGGACGTCAGCACTCGAGGATTCTGGACGCAGGGACAGCGAGCCTTCTTTGATGTCAGGATATTCGACCCCATGGTCGCATGTAACCGTAATTTGACTCTTGAGGATGCACACAAGAGGAACGAGAACGACAAGATTAGGACGTATGGCGAGAGAATTCAGAATGTGGATCAGGGCAGCTTCACTCCTCTGGTGTTCACAACCTCTAACGGGATGTGACCAAGTGCAAGACGCTTCTACGCAAGACTAGCCGACTAGCCGAGGTGCTGTCTGAGCAGAAGCAGCAACCCAGAAGCCACGTTGCAGCCTGGTTGAGATGTCGACTGTCCTTCTCTCTGCTTAGGTCTGTGTTGCTTTGCCTCAGAGGAACGAGATCTTCGGCTCCAGAGCAAACAACAGTCGCAGATATTGACTATGAGGCAACAGTCACTGAATGCCGCATAGATCTGTGGCTTACTGACTCAACATTGCTATGTAGCTAATTTTGTATTAGGATATTTAATTTTAAGGCAATAAAATGGCGGCGAACGTGTGGCTATTGGGGGAGGCTGGAGGCTACGTTAGAAAAAAAGTAGTGGTAATAACAGTAGTAGTGATGGTGGTGGTAGTAGTGATGGTGGGAGTAGTGGTAGTGATGGTGGTAGTAGTGGTAGGTGGTTGAGGTACATGCTGGGAGGGGGGATAGATAATGACGTAATGTAAGGACTCTCACTGATTGGCTATTCATACGCAGCCAAAGCATCTTCTCCTCCTTGTCGTTGATGGGGGAGAGGAGGGCAGATCCCTGTCGACGCCTCGGGACACGACCCAACACGAAGAGCCTTTGTGTAATATGACGCCATTTTGTAATCTCTGACCAGGTGAGTAACGACAGGTGAGATGGCATGTGTTTCCCCTCACTCGTCCCCAGAATGTGTTAAATTTATTTATGAAGTGAGAGAAAGGTAGCTAAGGTGAGGGGTACGGTGTGAGGGGTGTGGGGTGAGGGAAAGGGAGGTGTAGGGACGAGTGCTGGGGGTGGTATGAAAGGTGAGAGGTTGGTCTGGGTGGGAACGTGGAGTGAGGGGAAGGTAGGCGTGAGGAGTTGCGGGTGAGCTGGAGGTGAGGGGAATGGGTGAGGGCTGAGGAGAGAGTGTAAGTAACATGTGTTGTCCTAAGCTACTGTTACTGACTCACTCACTCACTCACTCACTCACTGACTCACTCACTGACTCACTGGCTGACTCACTCACTCACTCACTCACTCACTGAAAGAGCGAAAAAAAATCCAAACTGGAGTTCAGTAAAATTAACTCATACATATTACTTAAATCAACTACCACAACCTACCACACTAAAAGATGGTGGTTGTGGTAGGAGCAGGTGGCGTCAAATATCCACCCGTAGTAGGAGGCATCATCAAACACTCACCTGTAGGAACAAGCCATGATGAGGGGGGGGGGGCGCTGCAGGTGGTGTCACAGGTGAACTTGCAGTAAAATATTTCCCACGTCCAGGCGTCGGTACACACTATGATCATCCCTTCACTATTAGCAACACACTGCCTTACTCTGTCAATTTTATTTTCTTTCCTTTTCTAACTTTTCTTACTCTCTTCCTCTACGCCTTTTTTTTTCTTTCGCTTTCTATGCCTTTTTCTTAATCACTTTCCTCCTCACTTACTATGCCTACTACTTTTTATTAAATTATCTACCTGTTGTTCGTCAGCCCTTTGTTTTATTCTCTATATTCCATTTCCCACTTCGTTAATAACTTGCTAGCTCTCTATCTCTCTCTCTCTTCTCTGATAATTCCTACGTCACTTTTATCTCCTTATTTTATCTTTTCTTTTCTTTTTTATTTATGCCAACTTTTCTTATTCTTCTTCTCTTCGGTGTTCCTTCACGTTTACTTTATCTAGGTCGTTATACCCTAGTCCATATAAACACCTTGAATTAAACTGTTTAAACTTTGGGTTAGGAGTTGCCTTCGTCGTCACCTTCTAGTGGGTTAAGGAACACTCTACCTCAGCCGCTACACTTTGGATAATCTAGCTAGTATGGTGGTGTTGTTAAGTGTTCATTTATCGGTGTCACCTTTTCTTTAATCACAGACAGGTTACTATACGAAGTCTGCGACACCTAAGATGGCTGATGGCCTTCAAGAGAGGATTTTTTTTCTAACGTAGTAAAAAAAAAAATCACCTTGTCGTCATTGCTTATGTTACTCACTGTTTGGGTGTGGACACGAGGTGGTTGTGTGGAGGGATTTTGTTGTCTTGGTGATGCAACACTGAACCGGAGATTAACACAGCAACTGAAGGACGAACACAACTCACGAGGTGTTTAGTCGGTTGGTATGTTTGTGTGCTTGTGTTTGTGTGTTTGTGTCCGTGTGTTTGTGTGATCACGTATATAAGATCGTCTTGGTGAGTTCTCTTAAAGCACAGTATCCTGGAACGTCATCCATCTATTCCTTCAGGTCTCCTCCTTCAACACGAGTTCTTCAGAGATCATAATGAACGCGTGTCTTAAGTCCTTGAGTGAAGGTTGTCGGCAGGGAGCTTCCTACTGTACTCACTCACTACCAGGTCAGGTTACTACACAACAGTTATAGAGAGGCACTTCTGAGAGGGGCACTTGGTCATCACATTCGAATACATGTACGAAACATCTGCAGTAGAAAACTAGATATTTACCTCGTCTCTAGTAGATAAAAGTTAGCAGCGATAATTATACTGAGTTAGCAAGTAATATATTTACACACACCTTAGCAGCTAATAGGCAATGTTTTTTATTATTATTATTATTATTTTAAACGCCAAAACGATCTTGGTGAAAGTTTATCTAAGTAAGCTTGAACACTCGACGACCAGCTCTCAAGACTTTTGGCCCTGCACGACTAACGCGATGGGTAATGTGACCTGCCGTAGTGGTGCCGCTGACCCCCTGCAGGTGTGGGCGCGTGTGGTGGCGGGCGTGAGGGCTGGGCGGCAGCTGGTATGAGGGGTGTTGGTAGCGAGGCTGCGGACAACACACGGTGAGGGAGGAGAGGTGAGGGACAAGGCGGCAGTGTAAGAGGTGAGGATAGAAGGAGAAGCAGTGGTGACGGCGGCGGTGGTGATGATGGTAATGGGAGGTGTAGTGGTAGGGTTGGTGGTGGAGGTAATGGAGGTGGTGATGGTAGTGGTGGTGGTGGGCAAGACACTCTGGGGAGTCATTAAGCCCAAGGAAAGCATCACCACTGCTGTAGGCGACGCTGAAGAACAACAACACCGAGAACCTGCCGTGAGCGCCCTTCCTCCAGCAGCAACACCGCCTCACCATCCACGCTACCCAGGACTACCTCCCGAGAATCCACGACGGCCACGACACACTATACGCCGCTTCCATACAACGACGGCGACGGCTTCCTACCTGAACACCACGGTAACTAACTCTCGGGTACACTCCACGCCTCAGCCACCTCCTCACCATCACACGTTTTCCCAGTTGGCTATTTGATTTTTTCTTTTCTTTTTTTTCACACGCTGGATGAGGGGTGACTTTCTCCACCTTTATCACACTTCCTGTAACGTCCCCTCACAGGCGAACTGTCTTACCTGCAAGAGAAAGAGAGAGAGAGAAGTAAGTTACGGCCATTACATAACACACCTTACAAACTACACATAACACACAGAATAACACATATATTGAGTGTATATATAGTACCAAACAGCATGACACAGCATGCACACACCTCCACACAGCATGACACAGTACACGCACACACACACCTCCACACAGCATGACACAGTACACGCACACACACACCTCCACACAGCTTGACACAGTACACGCACACACACACATCTCCACACAGCTTGACACAGTACACGCACACACACCTCCACACAGCATGACACAGTACACGCACACACACACCTCCACACAGCTTGACACAGTACACGCACACACACTCCACACAGCATGACACAGTACACGCACACACACACACAGCATGACACAGTACACACACACACACCTCCACACAGCACTACACACACACACACACACATCTCAAACAGCTTGACACAATACACACACACCTCCACACAGCTTGACACAATACACACACACACACACACCTCCACACAGCATGACACAGTACACACACACACACACAGCATGACACACACACACTCCACACAGCATGACACACACACCTCCACACAGCTTGACACAATACACACACACACACCTCCACAGCATGACACACACACACACACACACACACACACACACACACACACACACACACACACACACACACACACACACACACACACACACACAGCGCACAAAATATGCCTCAACGCCTCATTGGCACAAATCACCAACAGTCAGAGATAAGCCAAGTTGGTTGTATTAGTCACACTGAACCACACCTGGTCTACCCCCCGCCCCCCAACACCTGGACCACCTACACGTGAGGCAGGTGACAAGAGGCACCACCTGGGTACATTAGCCCCAGTCCCAACAAGCCCCAGTTTTAACAGTTCCTAATCCTAAAAGGCACCCAGTTCGAACATGACCCAATTCTAATAGGTCGCAGTCCTAACAGGCCTTAACCTAATCTAACCCAACCTAGCCTAACGCGAGCCAAACTAACCCATCCCAACTAAGCCCAGCCCAACCTAACCCAAGGCAAATTAACGTAACCCAACCTAGACCTAACCCAAGCTAAACTAACCCAACCCAAACTAACTAAATCTAAAAGTCAGGTGTGGTTGTGAGCACTAATAGACCTGGCACACCGACAGTACAGTCTCTCTCAACAAGTACAAAGTAAGACTGTCAACAAGAACAACCATTAATCTCCTTTAAACAACAAAAACAATCGTACGTGAATCTGAAATAAAGAATCTAAGTTAAGAGGTGATGTCTTATAACAAAAACCCCTAATAAGGTCATATATATATATATACACGTAACTCATTATTTCTTTACTTTTCGGCGTCAACAAACAATGTCAACCACCAGCTTGTCTCGTCACCTAAGACTGTGACGTAGGGTGACGTAAGGGGGTGACGGAGGGGTGACATCATCACTTACGACAAACAACACGCCGCCTCCGGTAACTATTTATTATGTTTACGGTTCTCATGTTTTGTTGTTTACTTCCGGAGTATTTACAAAGACACGGTCATTATATTATTGTTTATATTATCACTGTAAACAGGTTAATTCCCCTGATTTAACACCTTGAGTACGATAATTTAACCCTTTGAGTACGATTATTTAACCCCCACAGTACAATGATTTAACCCCTTGACTACGATTATTTAACCCTTTGAGTACGAGTAATTAAGCCTTCGACAGAGGCCCCCACGAAAGACTAATACGAAAAGTAGAGGCTCGAGGAATTGGAGGAGATATTCTAAAATGGATTAGGGCGTGGTTACAAGACAGGAAACAGCGAGTAAACATTAACGGCATTAAATCCAATTGGGGTAACGTCACTAGTGGAGTACCTCAAGGCTCAGTACCTGGACCATTGTTATTTATTATATACATAAACGACATAGATATAGGCGTAGACATCAACATAAGTAAATTTGCTGATGACACTAAAATAGGGCGTGTAATTAAATCTGACGAGGACTCCGCAAAACTACATGAATGTCTAACAAATTTCGAATGGTCTAAAAAATGGCAGATGAAATTTAATGTGGACAAATGTAAAGTGCTTAGTCTAGGAGATGTAAACAGAGAAACCAGATATCAGATAAACAACGTTGTTTTAGATAAATCCGACTGTGAGAAAGTTTTAGGAGTAATGATAAGTAGGAATCTTAAACCAAAGCAACAATGTGTATATGCTCTCAACAAGGCTAACAAAGTACTTGGGTTCATACAAAGGAGTATTAGTTACAAGACTAACGAGGTTACCCTAAATCAATATCTTGTGCTTGTTAGACCTCACTTGGATTACACGGTTCAGAATGGATATAGAATCCCAAGAAAGAATTCAGAGTAGAATAAAAAGACTATTTCCGGGCATTAGGAACCTTGTGTACAGAGACATGTTAAAGCATCTTAATTTGCACTCCCTCGAGAGACGTAGAGTGAGGGGCGATATGATCGAGGCTTATAAATGGAAGTCAGGGCTGAACAAAGGTGATATAACACAGGTACTCAAACTATCCAACCAGGAGCGAACTCGCCGCAATGGTTTTAAATTAGAGAAATTTAGATTTAGGCGCGATATAGGTAAACACTGGTTTGGAAATAGAGTAGTGGATGAGTGAAACAAGTTACTAAATATCATCATTAACTCGAATACGCTGGCTAGCTTCAAACATAGGTTGGACGGATATATGACCGATAAGGGTTGGGTGTAAACGGGACTGCTCAGTATGGGCCAATAGGCCCGCTGCAGTTTCCTCCATTCTTATGTTCTTATACAGTATTCTTATTTAACACCCTGAGCATTGTAACAGTGCCATGATTTTAAAATAAATTATATATTGTTCCCACTCAAACTGAGCAATGACAGTGTGAGTGCCTTAGGCCTGAACCAATAAGGATAACCTGTGAGACGTGACGTCATTAGCATGTGGCGTCCCATAGGCCGCCTTTGTTTAAGGGACAGTCTAGGTTGGTGCTTGTGTCAGTCAACATGATGGACGTCGATGGCGAGTGGAGTAACAATAATCAGTAAGCGCATTTAAGGTTTTATCTGTTTCATGAAATGTATTGTATATAATTCACGTGACACTCATTTAACCAGCTAGGAGAATAGGGCATTGTAAATAAATTGTAACTAAATAGATCAAAAGAAGAAATAAGTAAATAAATAGAAATAAAAACTAAAATAAAGGACATTATACACTTTTATTACAGTATGATAATTTAACACTGAGTATTTAACCCCAAGCGTATAATGACTTAACAGCTTGAGTACGATTATTTAACCCCAAGCGTATAATGACTTAACAGCTTGAGTACGATCTAAAAAAATAACTACAAAAAGAATACAAATAAACACCATAAGTAAATAAACAAATACACAGCACAGATAAGACTCAACAATCCTTTAAACAAACAAACAAACACATAAATTAATGGCATAACGGCGTAAACAAACAAACAGAGTGCCACTAAGGGGTTTACAGAGTGCCATTAAGGGGCTTCAAGAGTGTCACTAAGGGGTTTATAGAGTGCCATTAAGGGGCTTCAAGAGTGCCATTAAGGGGCTTCAAGAGTGTCACTAAGGGGTTTACAGAGTGCCATTAAGGGGCTTCAAGAGTGCCATTAAGGGGCTTCAAGAGTGCCATTAAGGGGCTTCAAGATTGCCATTAAGGGGCTTCAAGAGTGCCATTAAGGGGCTTCAAGAGTGCCATTAAGGGGTTCTAAGAGTGCCACTACAGGGTTTCAAGCCGGGCTTTTAAGGGCTTCAAGAGTGCCATTAAGGGGTTCTAAGAGTGCCACTACAGGGTTTCAAGAAAGCCATTAAGGGATTTTTAGGACAACACCATTAGATAATGCAATCAACAATAATACTAATAGGAATGTAGGTTAGGTTAGGTTAGGTTAGGTTAGGTTAGGTAAGGAGTAGGTGTCGTCAGGGATGTAATGTTAACGTGACACACACACACACACACACACACACACACACACACACACACACACACACACAAACACACACACACACACACACACACACAAGGTTGTATCAACTTATGTGTTTGACGGTACGAACAGTAAATGTTTTGCTCACATTCCGCAGGTGAGTACAGACAGGTGAGTAAACAGATATGTACAGACAGGTAATTATAGACAGGTGAGTACAGACAACTTAAATGGGTAAAACAATTAATATTTTTCATGCATCATCATCATTATCACCATCATGATCATCACCATCACCACCATCATCGTCACCATACCCATTATCACTATCGTCACCATCATTAATATCAGTATTACCAACATTGTCATTACCATCATCACCACTATCATTATCACCATCATCATTATTGCCATCATCATCACCATCATGACAATCTCCACCATAATCGTTACTATCACCACCATCGTCACCATCACCACGTATCGTCACCATTACCACTATCATCGTCACCATCACTACCATCATCACCATTACCACCATCATCGTCGTCACCATCACCTCGTAACGTCACCATCACCACCATCATCGTCACCATACCCATTATCATCGTCACAATCACTGCCATCATCATCGTACCATCACCTCGTACCGTCACCATGTACCGTCACCATCACCACCACCATCACCACCACCATCGTCACCATCACCACCATCGTCACCATCACCACCATCACCACCATCACCGTCACCATCATCGTCACCATCACCACCATCACTTACAATATCACTCCTCAAACGTATTACAACACACAAAGAGAATGTTTGTGTGTGTGTGGTGTGTGTGTGTGTGTGTGTGTGTGTTACTCGATTCTGTCTTGTATGGGGCGGTGTGGTAGAACCCCCTTCACTCTCTCCCTCTCTGCACCCACTTGAGTCAGTGACCTCTTACAATGGTGTCTTACCATCCTCACACACACACACACACACACACACACACACACACACACACACACACACACACACACACACAGAGCCGTTCACCAGCATAAACTTGTTGGTGTGGGTCAGAGCTGGTGTTTTTTTTTTTTTTTAAGATTGAAAATTACTAACATCACTCATGGAGAAAAAAAAAGAAAACACGATTCACGATGATGTTTTAAAATAGAGGACTGTGTGTGTGTGTGTGTGTGTGTGTGTGTGTGTGTGTGTGGACTGGTGACAGGTCAGATCTCAGATAAGTCTCACAGATATGGAAACACCAAGTCGTTATCATAACATTGTAACACTCATACACTTGCCAAAGTTGCTACCATGAACGAGGAACAGCTTCCATAATGTGTTGATGGGGCCCCCACGGACCTCATACTAACATAACCTGCAGAAAGTTACCAAAAAGCGATTCCTATATTCTTTGGATCACGTGAAGTTTAGCCCCACCTAATGTTACTAGACGATTAAAAACCCTTACGTTATCTGATGGGGTTAGGTTAGGTTAGGTTAGGTTAGGTTAGGTTAGGTTAAATTAGTGTTGGGTGATTTGATTAATCATTAGGTGAAATAAGCTGGGGTGCCTAATTAACATGTTAAATAAGCTGGGGTGCCTAATCAACATGTTAAATAAGCTGGGGTGCCTAATCAACATGTTAAATAAGCTGGGGTGCCTAATCAACATGCTAAATAAGCTGGGGTGCCTAATCAACATGCTAAATAAGCTGGGGTGCCTAATCAACATGCTAAATAAGCTGGGGTGCCTAATCTTCACGTAACAATAAACTTATTTCCTTTTCAACCTAGACGAAGTAAAAGACCCGAGCCAACACTAATGACCTTACTGTCCCTCAAGATCATAAAAAAGAAAAACACACACACACACACACACACACACACACACACACACACACACACACACACACACACACACACACACACACACACACACACACACACACACACACACACACACACACACACAGAGGCTGGCGGAACTACAGACCCAATTGACGGTGCCGCTGTGGTTTATGGAAAACAAGGCCACAACAATGACATGAAACACCTCAGGACACATTCCCCCCTTCCTCCTTCCCCTCCCCAACACACGCCAACACCATCCTCCCCTCCACAACACACCCACCATCCTCCTCCCTCACAACACACACCACCACCATCCTCCTCCTCACAACACACACCAACACCATCCTCCCCTCACAACACACAACACCACCATCCTCCTCCCCTCAACACACACCAACACCATCCTCCCTCACAACACACACCACCACCATCCTCCCTCACAAACACACACCAACACACCATCCTCCCTCAACACACACACCACCATCACCCCTCCTCTCCATGTAGCTCTTCAACAACACTCGCCAGTAACACTAATACGTAACACTCGCCAGTAACACTAATCCGTAATACTCGCCAATAACACTAATCAACACTCGCCAGTAACACTAATCCGTAATAATCATAACACTAATACGTAACACTCGCCAGTAACACTAAGCCGTAACCTCCCAATAACACTAATACGTAACACTCGCCAGTAACACTAAGCCGTAACACTCATAATAACTAATCAGTAACATTCGCCAGTAACACTAATCCGTAATACTCGCCAGTAACACTAATCCGTAACACTCGCCAGTAACACTAATCCGTAACACTCGCCAATACACTAATCCGTAACACTCGCCAGTAACACTAATCCGTAATACTCCTAGTAACACTAATCCGTAATACTCGCCAGTAACACTAATCCGTAAACACCACCTCGCCAGTAACACTAATCCGTATACTAGTCAGTAACACTAATCCGTAATACTCCCAGTAACACTAATCCGTAACACTCCCAGTAACACTAATCCGTAATACTCGCCAGTAACACTAATCCGTAACACTCAACACTCCAGTAACACTAATCCGTAATACTCGCCAGTAACACTAATCCGTAATACTAGTCAGTAACACCAATCCGTAACACTCGCCAGTACACTAATCCTAACACTCGCCAGTAACACTAATCCGTAACACTCACCAGTAACACTAATCCGTAACACTCGCCAGTAACACCTAATCACCGTAACACTCGCCAGTAACACTAATCCGTAACACTCGCCAGTAACACTAATCCGTAATACTCGCCAGTAACACTAATCCGTAATACTAGTCAGTAACACCAATCCGTAATACTCGCCAGTAACACCATCAATACTCGCCAGTAACACTAATCCGTAACACTCGCCAGTAACACTAATCCGTAACACTCGCCAGTAACACTAATCTGTAACACTCGCCAGTAACACTAATCCGTAACACTAATCAGTAACATTCGCCAGTAACACTCGCCAGTAACACTAATCCGTAACACTCGCCAGTAACACTAATCAACACTCGCCAGTAACACTAATCCGTAACACTCGCCAGACACTTAATCCGTAATACTAGTCAGTAACACTAATCCGTAACACTCGCCAGTAACACTAATCCGTAACACTCGCCAGTAACGTATCGTCTATATGTAAAATGTTCTGTATGTTTATCAAATATTTTCAAAGAGTGATTTAAGGCAACGCCCTCCCCGTGATGATGGTTTGGAGGTAGTGGTAGTTGGGGTAGTAGGGGGTAATGGTGATAGTGGGGGTAATGAAGATAGTGGGGGTAATGGTAGTGGGGGTAGCGGGAGTGGTGGAGGAAGAGGAAGAAGAAGAGGAGGAGGAGGAGGTTCACTTCACAACGTCAACAAGAACATGCGGGTGGCTCTCCTACACCTGCCTCGCCACCACAACTAACTGATAACACCCTCCCTCCCTCACGCTCTCTCCTCCTCCCTCACCCTCTCCCTCCACACCCCCCTCCCTCCCTCCTCCACCGCAGAGGCAATAAGGAAGAGGGGGAAGAGGCATGGGGAGAGGGAGGGAGGAAAGAGGAGGAAGAGGAATTATGGAAGAGGAAGGGGAGAGGTGTATGGAAGAGAAGGAGGAGGCATGGAGGGAGGGAAGAAGAGGAAGAGGAATGGAGGGAGGGAAGAGGAAAGAAAAAGAAAGAAAGAGGAGGAGAAGGAACATTTACAGACATGCCGAGGCAAAATACAAACTTCCCACCCGTCAACTGAGATATACTCGACGTGGTTCAATCTGGGTGAGTGAGGATGAATGTGGATGAGGGGGGGAGGGATGGTGATGAGGGTGAAGGAAGGTAGATGAGAGGGAGGGGAAGTGGATGAGGGTAAGGGAAGGTGGATGAGAGGGAGGGAAGGTGGATGGCAAGATGAGAATATGTAAAACAGGTGTGTGTGTGGGGTGTGTGTGTGTGTGATGGGAGCATGAGAGATGTGGGGAGTATGTGTGTGTGGGGGGCGTGTGTATGGGGAGTGTGTTAGGAGTATGTGGAGGGGTGTAGAAATGTGTGGGTAATGTATGTGAGGTGTGTGTATGGGGAGTGTGTGTGTGTGTGGGGGGAGTGTGTGTGTGTGGGGGAGGTGTGTGTGGGGGTGTGGAGGTGTGTGTGTGGGGGTGTGGGAGTGTGTGGGGGGGGTGTGGGAGAGTGTGGGGGAGTGTGTGGGAAGAGATGTGTGGGAGGGGGAGTGTGTGTGGGAGGGTGTGTGTGGGGTGTGGGGTGTGTGGGGTGTGGGGGGTGTGTGTGGGGTGTGGGAAGTGTGTGGAGAGTGTGTGTGTGTGGGAGGTGTGTGGGAGGTGTGGGTGGGGGGGCTGGGTGGGGTGTGGGGGTGTGGGGTGTGGGGTTGTGGTGGGGTGTGGGAGGGGGTTGGGGTGTGGGGTGTGTGGGGTGGGGTGTGGGGTGTGTGGGGTGTGGGGTGTGTGGGGTGTGGGGTGTGGGGTGGGGTGTGTGGGGGTGTGGGGTGTGGGAGGGTGTGTGGGGGGTGTGTGGGGAGGGTGTGTGGGAGGGTGTGGGGAGGGTGTGTGGAGGGTGTGTGGGAGGTGTGGGGTGTGTGGGGTGGGGTGTGTGGGGTTGTGTGGGGTCTGTGTGGGGTGTGTGTTGGGGTGAGAGGGTGTGTGGGGGTGGTGGGGGAGGTTGTGTTGGGGTGGGGGGTGTGGGGTGTGGGAGGGGTGTGGGTTGGTGGTGGGGTTGGTTGGGGTGGGGTGGGGTTGGTGGGGTGGGTGGGGTGGGTGGGGTTGGGGGGGTGGTGGGAGGTGGTGGGGGTGTGGGGAGGGTGTGTGGGGAGTGTGTGGGGTGCGTGGGCCGGCTGGTGCACGGCTGGTTGTTGCAAGGTTCAGCCAAGGCCGTTGCAGGGCCTACGGTGTGGCAGTGACGGTGGTGGTGGTGGGAAGGGAAGGAGGAGGAAGTCACTTGGCGCAGGACCCAGTAAGATGGTGATGATGGTGGTTGTGGTGGTGGTGATGGTCGTTGTGGTGGTGGTGGTGGTGGTGATGGTGGTGGTGGTGATGATGGTGGTGGTGGTGGTGTACGGCCGCCAGGGGGCCATCTTGAGCTATGTGCCGGAGCTGGCAACATGCACGCTGAATACCTGCCAGGCCCCACTAGCATGGCGCCTGCCTTGCCAAATATGCCGCCCGCTCTCCCAGCATGCCAGCGGTCACACTACTACACACAAGCACAAAGTGGCAGCACGGGTGGCCTGAGCCTCGCCTCACATCCTTCACTTACAGTGTCCACAGCGAGGACTGGGGCTCAGGCGTGACTGCGGGTAGGCATAGCTTGTGGGTGTGGACGCGGCGAGTGCGGATTTTGCGGGTGAGGAGCGTCCTCACTTCACACGGGCTGGAGGCACACTGGGCCGCCGCTGCAGTTACCGGACTGGTGAACTGCCGACGCGGCTGCTGCTGCCATCCGTCGCCAGCAGGCCACCACCACCAGGGCTGCCGGGCCGCGGACAACACCTTACGCACTCCCCTCCAACACTCCACCACATACACCATAAACATGCAATGTTTCACTCTCATACACCTCTCAACACTTACATGCACTTTCACACTCGACACACAGTTGGAGGACGACCTCGATGGCCCCCACGGTGACCCCCGGGAGCCTGACCAGCAGGTGTTGTGGAGGAGAAGTCTGGTATAAATACCTACCTGTATATTGCATGTGTCACACACCTGTACTGCCAGCACACACGCGCTTTTTAACTAACCTAACGTCCTCATATTAAAACATTACTAACAACCGAATATTGATCTAATCTATTTCAACTTCTCTTAGTTTATTCTAACTTACTGTAGATCTATCTAACCTAACCTAACCTAACCTAACCTATCCTAACCTATCCTAACCTACCCTAACCTATCCTAACCTAACCTAACTTAACCTAACCTATCCTATCCTAAATCAGATGTAACTTCATATAACTTAAGTCCAAACCTAATTTAACCTAACCTAAACACCTAACGTAACCTAACCAACCCAAGGTAGGATTCAGTCGACGCTGTTAATGAAATCTTTCCAAAGTATCGAACGAGGAAGTGAAGGAGGAGGAAGAAGAAGCAGAAGAGGAGGAAGAGCTGGAGGAGGTAAAGTAGGTGGTAGAGGAGGTGGAGGAGGTAGGGTAGAGGAGGAGGAGGAAGAAGAAGAGTGAAGGAGGAGGTGGAAGAAGTATAGGAAGTAAAGGAGGTAGGGTAGAGGAGGTGAAGGAGGTAGGGTAGAGGAGGTGGAGGAGGTAGGGTAGAGGAGGAGGAGGAAGAAGAAGAGTGAAGGAGGAGGTGGAAGAAGTATAGGAAGTAAAGGAGGTAGGGTAGAGGAGGTGAAGGAGGTAGGGTAGAGGAGGTGGAGGAGGTAGGGTAGAGGAGGAGGAGGAGGAAGAAGAGTGAAGGAGGAGGTGGAAGAAGTATAGGAAGTAAAGGAGGTGGAAGAGGTAATGGAAGAGGTAGTGGTGGAGGGTGGTGGAGGAGGAGCAGGACGAGAAAGAGGCGGTGGTGGTGGAGGTGGAGGAATTGAATTTTGTTTTTAAATTTGCAACAAACAAAGGCTAGTTTATTGTGCACTCCACACTCATCAAGTGAGCGGTAGCGCAAAAGGATTACAGAGTAGAGGTCACAAGGGGCGTGTGTAACTGTCCCCAGTGGTCAGGTATATTGTGACATTGAATCTTACACGGTATTTCAAGTACATTGTTTGGTTGGTCCTGTACATAGAGGCAGACTTATTCACAACTGCTTGAGTGTCATACTGCCGAGTGAGACCATATGTTTGGCTGCACTCTTTGTGATTCTTATCTGCACGAGAGTCGTTCAAGTACATTGTGTGTTTAATTATGCGTGTACAGTAGATAAAACAACTATCTGTGCATACTTTGAGGGAAACAATATGAGACCATGGACGATAAATTTTGGTATATGAGGGCTGTCACTAGTCACACGTAAAATTTCGGAACATATCGACCCCCCTCCCCACCTGCACAGATAGTTGTTTTAGCTACGGTACATCAGAATTGACTTAGCTACGAGGTGCAAAAAAAAATTGGAGACAATCTTAACACATCAGCTACCTTGCCATCAGGTTTAAAATGATGTGCCATTTCACAAACAGTGTGCTTGGACCTGTCCCTAAAAGGTTCTATCTTCTCAGTCACGGGCTTAGTGTTGGAATGTGTGGCCATATGTCTAGCCACACACTTTAAGTTCAGTTTTGTTCACATCTGCTTGAGGGCAATACTGTACTGCTAGTAACATTATATATATATCCTAACTGTAGTCTAGTAATCTAGTGATCTTGTTACTTGTACAGTACATATGTTTACTGGATACATCTCGTCATGGAGGAGGTGATGGAAGGGGGAGGACGAAGAGGGAGTGAGGGAGAGGAAGTAAGGGAAGGAATGGGGAAAGTAGGGAGAAAGGGAGGGAGGAAGGAATGGAAGGGGGAGGAAAAGGTAAAAGGAGGAAGAAGGACTGATTGAGGACAGAGGGAGGGAAGGAAGGAGGGATGAAGAAAGAGAGGGAAAGGGAGTAGGTAGGAAGGGAAGAGGGAGCGAGGAAATGAGGGAGTCAGGGAGGGAAGGTGAAGGGAAGAGAGAGGGAGGAAATGAGAAAGGAAGTCAGGAAGGGAGGGAGGAAGGGAGGGAGGGAGGGAGGCCGTCTGGTCAGTCCCTTTAAGATAACCAAGTTTCCCAAGCTACTGAAGACGCGCTCTCTTCCTCCTGTTACGGCGCTCCTGTTGTAGTGTTCCTGTTGTGGTGTTCCTGTTGTAGTGTTCCTGTTGTGGTGTTCCTGTTGTGGTGCTACTGTTGTGGTGTTCCTGTTGTAGTGTTCCTGTTGTGGTGCTACTGTTGTGGTGTTCCTGTTGTGGTGCTACTGTTGTGGTGCTACTGTTGTGGTGTTCCTGTTGTAGTGTTCCTGTTGTGGTGCTACTGTTGTGGTGTTCCTGTTGTGGTGCTACTGTTGTGGTGTTCTTATTGCAGAGTTCCTGGGTTGGGATACTGTTACTTTGATCCTGTTTTAGTGTTCCTGTTGTGTTCCTATTATGGTGTTCCTGTTGTGGTGTTCCTGTTGTGGTGCTACTGTTACGGTGTTCCTGTCGTGGTGCTACTGTTACGGCGCTCCTGTTGTAGTGTTCCTGTTGTGGTGCTACTGTTACGGTGATCATGTTGTAGTGTTCCTGTTGTGGTGCTACTGTTACGTGATCATGTTGTAGTGTTCCTGTTGTGGTGCTACTGTTACGGCATGTTGTAGTGTTCCTGTTGTGGTGCTACTGTTACGGTGATCATGTTGTAGTGTTCCTGTTGTGGTGCTACTGTTACGTCGCTCCTGTTGTAGTGTTCCTGTTGTGGTGCTACTGTTACGGTGATCCTGTTGTGGTGATCCTGTTGTGATGTTCCTGTTACGGTGCTACTGCTACGGTGATCCTGTTGTGGTGTTCCTGTTGTAGTGTTCCTGTTGTGGTGTTCCTGTTACGGTGGTCCTGTTGTGGTGTTCTTATTGCAGAGTTCCTGGGTGGGGATACTGTTACTTGATCCTGTTTTTGTGTTCCTGCTGTGCTCCTATTATGGTGTTCCTGTTGTGGTGCTCCTGTAGCAGTGTTCCATTTGTGGTGCTTCTGTCGTAGTGTTCCATTTGTGGTGCTTCTGTCGTAGTGTTCCATTTGTGGTGCTTCTGTTGTGGTGCTCATGCTGTGGTGTTCCTGTTGCAGTGTTCCATTTGTGGTGCTTCTGTTGTAGTGTTCCATTTGTGGTGCTTCTGTTGTGGTGCTCATGTTGTAGTGTTCCTGTTGCAGTGTTCCATTTGTGGTGCTTCTGTTGTAGTGCTCCTGTTGTGGTGCTCCTGTTGTGTGCTCCTGTTGTGGTGCTCCTATTATGGTAAATAGATACATGGGGCAAGAAATGTTATGGCAGGGGTAAGGTTGTCATGGTAGTGGTGCTGTTAATAATCATGGTAGCGACGATAACATCATGGTAGCAACGGTAACACCATGGTAATAACAGCAATATCATGGTAGCGACAGTAGCATCATGATAGCGACAGTAACATCTGGTAGTGACGGTAATATCATGGTAGCGACAGTAACATCATGGTAGTGACGGTAATATAGTAACGACGATAGTATAGTAGCGGTATTAACATCATGACAAATACATCAACATCATGATAGCGACGTCAACATCATCATGGTAGCGACATCAACATCATGGTAATAACATCAACATCAATATGGTAACAAAATCATCATGGTAACAAAATCAACATCATTATGGTAACATCATCATGGCAACATCATCATCTTCATGGTACTAACATCATCGTTATGGTAACACCAACATCAGCTTGGTAACAACATTAATATCATCATGGTAACAACATCACCATGGTAGCAACATCAACAACACCATGGTAACATCATCATGGTAACAACACCAACATCATGGTAACAACATCATGGTAACATCATCACGGTAACAACACCAACATCTTGGTAACAACACCAACATCATCATGGTAGCAACATCAACATCATCATGGTAACAACAACATTAACACCATGGTATCAGCATCATCATGGTAACATCACCATGGTAGCAACATCATGGTAGCATCAAACAGGAGCCCCACATGAACTAAGCCTTCACCATTAACTCAGATGAATGACCATGAATTATCAAGATAAATAATTATACGAAATTATCAAGGGATCATGTAACAGATAATACGATAATTATGATATAGGAGAGATGAGAACACACACACACACACACACACACACACACACACACACACACACACACACACACACACACACACGAGTAACTATATACAAATAATAATATGTTTACGGTTAGTTGAAATTAAATACAGGAGACGAAATTGTATACTTCTGGTCTTATCATTCGGGATGAGGAGATAATGGTAGAGATATTAATGGCAAAATTAAAAGTTATGGTTCACTGCGAGATAATGGTAGTAGAGATACTAATGGGAGGATTTTACGAAGCACAGAATTATAATTTTTAGCAGGTTGTCAACCCCTGAGTATATTGAATTAAGATATATAAATCCCTTGAGTGCGATGACTTTTTTGGGGGGTGGTTATTGGGAGGGTAATCCCCGGCACAAGTCACTAACCCTCAACGGGGCCTGGGTGGAGGGGGGGGGGGATAAAAAGGAAGTAAAAAAAAAAGTTAATCTACACCACAAAGATGCCGGAAGTACAATTTTTTTGAACGAGACAGATTGTAAGAAGAAAGAAACAGAAGAAGGCAAAGCATTCCACAGTTTGGCTGTGTGAGGAAATAAATAACTACTATAACGGGTTATTCTAGTGTGACTGACATCTACACGGGCAAAGCGAGTGTTACTAACCCACGGCCTTGCCGGCGGTACACAGGATGCCAAATCCACCGAACATTGCCCGTTAAAGTACCTGTAAAGGAAATTGAAGCAATATTGCGGCGAAGGGAAAGGGAAGAGAAATTACTGACAAGAGGAGATTTAAGACGAAATGCACTTTGATTCCACCCTACCTAAAAGTTGGACAGAAGAGCCACCTCAGATATGAGAGCAGTACTCCAAGTTAGGACGTATTTTTTAATCCCCTATAAACCTGAAGCAGCTGCTCAGGAGTGAAGTAGCTACAGCACCTGTACAGGCATTCCCAACTTTATGGAAGCAGCTTTAACTGGTGTGGCTTCCATGACATATTTTAGGAAATGGTGTGGCCTAACATATGTTTTAGAATTTGGCAAAATTGGTTGTGTCGTAAAATGTCATTAGTGGAAGATCTTCTATTTTGGAAAGTGTAATTAGTGAATACTGTGTTTTCTTAGTATTGAAGTTGACCAAATTTCTACCTCCCCATTCGGAGATGCTGCACAGATCCGCATTGATAGATGAAACGATATCATTTCTAAAAACAGATCTAGTTTAAGAGTTAGGGGGAAGAGAAAAATGAGAAGAGTGAAGAGTAGAATAATCAGCGTAAGAATGGATAGAATTAATAGTAATGTGAAGTAAATCATTAATAAAAAGAAGGAAGAGAGTAGGTGAAAGAAGAGAGCCCTGTGGAACACCACTATTGGTAGAGAAAGAACGAGAGATCGATTCTCGACAACAACTGCCATGGATCGGTTCTCAAAGAAGCTAGAAATGAGAGAACAGAGTGAGGGAGAGAAACCATAAGAGGGAAATTTAAAAGCAAAGACTTGTGCCATACCCTGTCAAATGCTTTGGAGATGTCGAGGGCCACGACGAAAGTTTCCCCATAATCCCTAAGAGAAGGTGACCAAAGATGTGTGCAGTAGGAGAGCAGATCACCAGTAGATCTCACCTGGCGAGAGCCATACTGGTGATCCGACAGAAGAGAAAGGCGTTCAACGTGACGGAGAAAATGAGAATTTAAGATAGTTTCGAAAATCTTGAAAGGGATGAAGTTAGGGCAATGGGGCGATAATTATTGGGATTAGAATGGTCACCCTTCTTCGGGATGAGCTGAACCAAGGCATGCTTCCAAGAAGAAGGAAAAGTTTGGGTTTTGAGGCAAAGGCGAAAGAGACGAGAAAGCACAGGGGCCAGAACTTCAGCACACTCCCTGAAGGAGTAGGGGGGGGGGGGTAAAGTTGGAATCAACATTAGGTGGAATTAGAGGAGAATAAGGTGCCAAAGAGATTGGATTTATCAGAGGGAGAGTTGGCTATAGAGTTATCAGGTCGGAATAGAGGAAGAAAGGAGGGAATGCAGAAGTTATTATAAATATTTTTGGCTAAGGACCAGAAAGATTTACTGGAAGAAGAGTTTGTCATGTCAGTGGTCCTTTTTTCTTTAATAAAATTCCACTTGGCCATACGAAGAATAGCGGAGAAGGAGATAGTTTCATAACTTGATACGCCCTATCTCTCTCCCTACAGGCAAGAGAACAGGAGCGATCAAACCATGATTGTAAGGGGAGAGTTTTGGTATAAGATGGGATAAATGTACTCACACCACCCAGTATAACCCCAGCAATGCTGTCAGCACATACCGAGGCGTCCCGAGTGGAGAAGCAACATTTATCCCAGGGAAAGTAGGAGAAGAATTCTCGCAAGGATTGCCAGTGTGCCCTCCGATAGTGCCAGTTGGCGTTTAGAGGAGGGTGGGGGAGGTGGTCGCACCCAGATTACTTTAATAAATATAAGATTGTGATTAAAAGACCCTAAGGAGGCAGAAATTGAGTATGAATAGTGTGAGGGGTTAGAGGTAAAACAAAGATCAAGAATGTTAGCAAGTTGATCGTGTCGATCAGGAACGCGTGTAGGGTGTTTGGTTATTTGTTCCAAATCATTACGTAGGGAAAAAGAGAGTACCTCAGCTCCACCTGGGTCATCCCTTGCAGAGCCAAGCAACTCTCTGTGATGTACATTGAAATCCCCCAGGTAGAGGATCTCGGTGTTGTGATGTGTGGATAGCAACGACCCATGGCAAGAAGTGAGGTAGTCAAAGGGTCCCATATAGTTGGTAGAGTTGGGAGAAAAGTATAGGAAACAAAGCAAAATAGTCATTGTTGGTAGAGATATTTTTAGCGAGATGACATAATGAAGAGAAGATTCAAGATCCGTGAGTCGAGCTGTAGGTGTACGGGTCACTGTACGTGTGTTGCAATAGGCACATACACCTCCCTTAGAACGGAAAGAGGTATAAAGGATGTGGTTGGAGACTTGAAAAGGTTTGGGTGAAGCCACCTTGGACAGGAGGTTCAGATAGTAGTAAGAGGTCGGGGGAAGAGGTTAATAAATGGCGCTACACGGAAGGAAAATTGGATCTCAGGCCGCGAATGTTTGAAAAATGAAGTGTGAAAAAGCTGATCCTCCAGCAACCGCGGTGACGTCAGTTGAGGCCCCAGTAGTTTGATGATGGTCAGGTCGGCCCTGGGGTCCACAACCTTCCCGACCAGTGGGACCCATCCGAGAAGGCCCCACTTTAATATTATTGTCAACCAACATCGTACAGTAAATAATGCAGAAATAGAAGTCATAAAACAGATCAAGAGTGAGAAAAGATGTACAGCATATGTCGTGTTGTGTTGTCAAAGTAAGATAAACAATTGAGACCCTGCAATTGTGTGTAAATGAGGCAGAAAGTCAGATCAACAACCTGGGACTTGGTCACAATTTTGTGATGCCATATGGTAGCAGAGCCTACTTAACGCCTTCAGCACGATGATTTAACCTCTTAAGTGCGATGACTTAACACTTTTGAGTACGATGAATTAATCTCTTGAATTAATCCCTTGAGTGTGATGACAACCCTAGCTGAGTTGGTCTGGAGGTTAGCTGAGGAGACCTGGAGGTTGGTACGAAGGTGTGGAGGTAGCAGGAGTGGTCTGCAGGTAGATGAAGTGGTATGGAGGTAGGTGAGGAGATCTGGAGGTAGGTGAGGAGATCTGGAGATTACTGGGGAGGTCTGGAGGTAGTTATGGAGGAGTGGAGGTTAGTTGAGATGATCTGGGATTTGTCTGGGGCGGTCTGGAGGTAGCTGGAAGGTCTGGAAGTAGATGAAGTAGTGTGGAGGCATGGGGGTAGGTCAGGAGGTCTATAGGTAGATAGGGAGTTCTGGAGGTTGGCTGGAGATAATTGAAGCAGTGTGGAGGTACCTGGGGAAGTCTGGAGTTTGGCTACGTCACTGGGTTCAGCGAGTCAAGCAGCCTTCAGGAAGCTGTTATATTTTCCCTCCGATAACAAATGGCATACCTGAGCCGATCTCTCTCTCTCTCTCTCTCTCTCTCTCTCTCTCTCTCTCTCTCTCTCTCTCTCTCTCTCTCTCACTAGGTAGCACAAATAGTCCGGTTAGATTTAGTTAGGTTAGTTTATGATGGGTTAAGTTAGGTTAGTTTAGGTTATGTTAAGT